CGGAGGCCATCCCTCTTAGGTTGGAGGCCATCGCTAGTAGGTTGGAGCACCACTTGCTCACCGGGTTGCCTCGTGCTGGGACAGCACCTGGAAGGACTCCAAGATGAGGCTCCAATCCACCTAGGAAACAGAATCTACTAGGGGATCCTGGCCTTGCTACTAGGAGCAAGGACGCTACTAGGAGTACAGGGCATCGCTAGTAGCTTTTCCAATCGAGGCCGCTTTCGAGAAAGCGCGCGAAAAGAAGCTCGAAGCTCTTTGGGACGGTGAGCGAAGCTCTTGGGGCAAAATGTTGAAGGAAAAATAGATCATGTCTTTCTCTTGCTCAAAAGCTTCAGCTTCAAGGATCTCATGCTTCTTCGATTCCTTAAAATAGACGTGGAACCGGAGAGTTCCCTCTCCCGAGGACCGCTTCAAGACCACAAGCACGGAACATTCCGGGTTGAATGCAGTCTTTTGGGGTGCCAAACCCTGGTCAAAGCCTCAAACACAGAATATCGATGGAGGACCAATGAGCCTGCACAGTAAATAGACACATGCTCCAGAATCTCTGGAAGTTACCCTGCTGAACCATGCCTATATCTTATATAGCTAGCTCAAGGTGTTCACCAACGATTCCACCACTGATTCTTTGGGTGAATGAACAACCCACCACAGGTTGAGGTAGGCTTCTTAGCATCCAAAGTGTTGTGTTGAAAATCAGCTCTGATAGGAAATGCTCTTCCCACATCCAGTCCACAGAGTCCACTGTCCACTGTCGTGTCATCTCTTCATGTTCGCCTGATCTTTGGGATCTTTGAGCTCCTGCAGTTTCAGCAGCTGTTCAGCTGGAGAAGTTTCAGAGAGGTGCCTCCTGGCTGATGAAATCCTGCCAATTTGAGTAGGGGTTCAAGAGCCCATGACTTCTTGCTGGCACGGAGGCCTTTTTTGTGCTTGAGTGTTCATCTATGATAGTTACGTGGGGGTTGCAGTTGGAGTTCTTGTTGAGGAGCGATTTGTGCATCGGATCAGATTTGAAGGAGGTTCGATTTCTACGCTCGAAGCCAATTCTCAAGGCATTTCGGCCCCAAACTGGTGAGACACCAAATTGCACATGGATCCGATCCAAGAACCTCATGATTCCATGATGGAAGGATTGTCATCAGGCTTCCGAGTCTTGTTTGTATGAAGTCACATGATCATGCTTCACAAACTCCACTATATGATTGTAACAATGCATTATATATATGTTGTTTTCTAGATCTCTTCTATTCCATATTATGCTGTATACGACTTGCTTTCTACCCTGTTTCATCCGTGGCCCCACAAGAGGCTCTTCCTCTGCCACAGCTCCAACACTATTCTGGGAGATTGTTCAAGTCACACCTCCTCAACCTATCAATCATATTTATTCTTATCCGATGTTGTGCTTCGTGTTTGAGATCTGGCCACTCTTGGATCTCAAAAACCATGCAGCTTCGTGGAGAGGCCCAACCTCAGAGAGGGCGCCATCAGGGAAGGGCTTCTTGTAGACTTGGCGCTTCAGGTAAAAGGCCTTCGTGGAAGAGCAGGAGTCACCGATTTCTGGACAGGGCTACATATAGGGGCTTATTGAACATCCCTCGATCCCTTGGATGGTCCAGCCCCGTTCTTGCAAGTGAAAACTTGTGTGGTCGGGGTCCTCATAGGTAGCTGGGGTGCAGGATTTGCATTGAGGCCGAGTAGCTCCCCTGTTGCCCAATGTCGCACTTGGCCATTCGGGATCATTCGATGTCTTCTTCCGCTCTCTCGCTCAACATCGAAAAAAGGAGAGCCAAGCAGAACCGGTCGACCCATCAAAGAAGCTCATCGTCCTCCTGTGCGGGAAAAGTGTTTTAAGGCAAGCAAAAAGCTTTGCTCGGCCCAGCCCTCATGTCCTTACCTTTGCTAGCTACTGGTTGCATATATATATATATATATACATATAGTTGCCTGTGTTTTTCTCGAGACACACCAAGTTTCAAAAGTGAGACCCCTCCCTAGTGTCCTTTAAGGTAGCTCTGGACACAACTCCTCTTACCACCATCACACCGTACATGTCATCAGACCGTATATTGCTTGAATTTGAATAGAGCCCGAAATGATTGGAAGGTTGCTTCAAGCTCCTGCAGGAAATCCCACGCCACCGACACTGGAGGACACGCTGGAGGTCAAGGAGCACATTCGCTACTCACAAAATACATTCCAATAAAGAGCAAACGAACAAGGACGCTACTAGGGGCTCCTGGCATCGCTACTCGGAGCAAGGACGCTACGAGGGGCTCCTTGGAGTGTTTTAGTCGGCGCCACGAAGAAAATATTCCAAAATCATACAACGTCCAGCTCCATCTGACGGTGACCCGCTAGTAGGTTGGACACTTCCGTCTACTCTCCTTGGCATGCCACTTTTCCTTTCAGGACAACAACATCACGCTTTTGTCCCACTTTCCTTCATTGCTCGCCTTCCAGAGCTCATCCTTCGTGAGGTCCTGGTACTTTGCTTCCTCCGCCAGGTTTCGCTTGTGCCACTGTCGCCCAACTCTCCCATTTAATTTTGCACCGAGTACAGGGAGACGGACCAGCAAAACATCCGCTACTAGGGGGCTAAAGCTATTGGGTTGGAGGCCATATCTATTGGAGGCCATCGCTACTAGGTTGGAGGCCATCGCTATTAGAAACAAAAAAGACATGTCTGAGTCCAATATAGTTTTGAGCCACACCAAACTCTGAAGCCACGAGACTCACCGCGCAGAGTCGTTTCTTTTCGCAGGGGTCTGAAAGGGCCATCAGACGAAAGGTCAGCACTGTTGACTGCTTTGCGATCCATGTGCGATCATGTACTGCGGTATTGGAGTTACCACGGCAGCTCATCTCCCTTTAAGACTCCAGACGCTCGACTCCCGACGCTCGGAGGTCGTCCGGGGATGACCCAGCTGACCTTTCCGTCGACTCCGTCGGAGCTTCTTATGAGCTCCTCCGCCCTCCCCGCTGACGCTGAGCATCTTCAGCCGATCGGCGAGCATCTTCAGATGATCGAGTCGACGTACATCTCTAGACCATCTGGAAAGCCGCTCTTTTTGAGAGTCTAGCCAAAAGGAGACTGCTTGTTCAAAGGGATACTTCTGGTCACTCCATGAAAGGTTCGTCAGAACCTGGTCAGAAACAGAGTTCTTGAACTTTTCACATGGCATCCCAGCAGTTTCCAGTCCAAGCTTGCAACTATCATGGGTTTAGGCCCCAAGATCTTAGGTTGGAGACCATCGCTGGTGGAGGCCATCGCCCTTAGGTTGGAGGCCATCGCTATAAGAAACAAAGGAAGAAAGGTCTTACATAATCTTACATATATAGTTTGCTATTAGGCTGGAGGCAGTCGCATTGCCGTATCGGTTGGTCAGGTTGCATCAGAAATTAGGCTCTTCACAGCCTGGGTCGCCCATAGTCATCCAACCTGGCAAAGGGCGGACACGGCGCAACCCGGGGCCAAAAGCAAAGGTGTGGCCCCCAACACAGGAAGTCGAACTGTTGGACAGTCTTCCACTTGAGATACCACAGGACAAATCCCAAAAACAATTTTTGGACCCCAAACCTTCACATTCCCTCATCTCAAGCCTCCGTCAAGGCCTCGACCCCATCCCCCACTCCAACCCGCCTCCGGGAAAATCCGCCCCCCTCGCTCTTCGCCAAGCACGCCACACCCAGCTCACTGAGGCGTCGACAGCCCAGCTGTGCCATGCAGCGTCGCACCTCGAAGGTCAACCGCTCCACCAATTGAACGATACCCTCCTCGCCATGGCAGGCCGCCGCCCAGTAGTACCTCGCTACTAGCAAAGGGCATCGCTACGAACAGAGCGATCGGACGCTACGAACGGGGCTCCTGGCCTTACTACTAGTAACAAGAAGCTACTAGGAACAAGGGCATTACTATTAGTAACAAGAAGCTACTAGGAGCAAAGGGCATCGCTACTACCTCACGTTGAAGGCCATCACCATCCATCACCGCGTTCTGCCAGGCCAACCCGTCTGTGCACGGTGAGAGGGCTACAGGGAAGCCAGGGAGGTTGAACTCTTCTCCACACACCGGTCGCTGATCCTGGAAGGAGTATAATCTAGAACTCAAAGATGTGCCAGACGGCAACTGTCACCAAATGCTAGAATGATTTCAGGGCAATCTAGAACCCTTTGCTCCTAGTAGCTTCTTGATACTAATAGTAATGCCCTTTGTTCCTAGTAGCTTCTTGTTACTAGTAGTAAGGCCAGGAGCCCCGTTCGTAGCGTCCGATCGCTCCGTTCGTAGCGATGCCCTTTGCTAGTAGTATATCTCATAAATTGAATCCTCTCTGCGTGCAGAGTCTCTGGGTTCCTCAATGTTTTGGCCTCCCTTCTTCATTCCAAGGTACAGCCGGCCGAGCCCCACACCTCTGGCACCCAGGCAAAGAGCCTTCACCACGTCAGCTGCACAGCGGACGCCGCTGTCGAAGTAGAGCTCGAACGTGCTGTTCGGGCCTCTGATTGCCGGCCAAGCCGAGGTGGTCGATCTTGGGAAGTGACACAAGCTAATTGCCTCTGATGGCCTCGCCGGCCACGTGGTCTTCTTCACATCTAATCACACCCCCACCACACCGAAACCACACCCGACCTAGATGTCCTGCTTCTCGTAGCGCCGCACTGATCTCCTGCAGCGCCTCCAGCGCTCCGATCGAGTTCCCACAGGCGCGGCCGCCGTGGTTTGAGACCACGACGCCTTGAAGGCCTAGCTCCACCGCCATCAGGGCGTCTTCCGCGCATTGGACGCCCTTCAGGTACACCGGCACACCCACCTGTGGTGCTTTTTTCGGGGGCGACTAGGTTAGAGAGAAGAACTGCTTTCCACTGCGGCGTGTGAAGCGCTCTAGGCAAATCATCAACCTACCAACCTACCATGTTTCCCCACCGGGAAGCTCTTCCGCATCTCTTTGAACTTCTCCCAGTCCAGCAATGGCGAGGGGAAAACCCCCGTGCCGGCCGAAGTGAATCGGTGCAGAGCGCCATGCCTCGACACTCGGCGACTCATCAAACTGACAAACGCCGAAAAAAGCGATGGCCTCCAACTAATAGCGTCCTTGCTTCTAGTAGCGATGCCTGGAGCCCCTGGCAGCTTCTTGTTCCTAGTAGTAAGGCCAGGAGCCCCTAGTAGCGTCCTTGCTACTAATAGCGATGGCCTCCAACTCGTAGAAGCCTTTGTTACTAGTAGCTTCTCGCTACTAGTAATGATGGCCTCCAACCTACTAGCGAAAGAAATGTCTGTTAACCAAATATACTGGCCAGTGATAGAGGGTATCAAATCAAGTGCCTTGTTCCATCTCAGACTCCTCAGAAGTTCCTGTCACTCCGAGCCCCATGGTTATGTCCTTCACATTTCAAAGGAGATCTGACAGAATCTGGTTTCACCATGTTAGCTAGTAGGAGCAAAGGGCATCGCTACTAGGAGCAAGAACGCTACTAGGGGCTCCTGGCCGTACTACTAGGAACAAGAAGCTACTAGTAGCAAAATATATAATGGCTTCACCTGGTTTCTGATTCTCCTCCGAGCTTGAATGGACCCGATCTCACCCGTCCCACCTGGGTGCGTTGGCATCCACGGTCAAGACCAAGGCATTCACGCCTAGGCGCAACGCTTCAGCCAAGCCGGCAGGCATGGCGAAGTTCTCGTCGTTGGTCAGGAGGTAGATCTGAAAGGCCTGGGAGTGCCTGAGGACAGGAAACCATAAATATGAGCCCTGTGTGACATGTGTGACATACTCACATCTGTATATATGTTTGATGTAAAAACTACAAAAGTACACATGCATATGTTCACATAAGAAAAAAGCTACTAGTAGCTAGAAGCTACTAGGTTGGAGGCCATCGCAAGTAGGTTGGAGGCCATTACTTACTAGTAACAAGAAGCTACTAGTAACACAGGCTCCCTAGTATCTCTTATAACACATGGCACTTGATCGTGCATCTCACGAAGTCATGTGCAGAAGATCTGACACGGACGATCCATTTCTGTCAGGGCGATTTCTCCGTTTGGGATTGCCCACTTACTAGTAACTTCTTGTTACTAGTAGTAATGGCCTCCAAACCTACTAGCCTTCTTGTCCTCTGCAGCAAATACGCTGGTGACAGCAAAATCCAGCCATCTGCTCCAATCGTGCCCTCCACTTGAGCGCTGGTCATGTAGCCTTCAGTGGTACGGCCAGGAGCCAGGAGCCCCTGGTAGCGTCCTTGCTCCGTTCGTAGCAATGCCCTTTGCTCCTACTAGCGTCCTTGCTCCAGAGGTGTGGCCACTGCCTGCTGTAAAAGGCAATCGAATCAAGCACGCGCCACAGGAGGGTCATGTGTCAGGTTTTACAACACAGCCAGTGGCATGCCAGTAGGAAGTTGTAGTGTTGATGACCTGCACCCTCTCCACAACTTTGGACTGCACATTCTCGGCACGCGCAAGCCAATTTTATCGTGATTGTCGGAAGGTGATGGCCAATCCTTGCATCTGAGGAGCCATTGGATTCACAATCCATCTGCCCATCATCAGTCATCAGTCCCGGCAAAGCCGCGGTGACCTTCCTAGTTGGAAATCGAAAGCCAAAGACACCGCAAGCTTCTGGAGCCAACACTCAAGGAGATCTGCAGCGAAGAACATGCAGCTGGGTGTGTAAGGCAGGCAACACATCGTGTCTGAAATACTTGCACTATGGTGTCCACAGACGTGGTGCGCCCAACGACCCAAAGAGGGGTGACCGGCTCCATGGTGATGTGCACTGCTGGTTCCGCCGCTGTCGCCTCCACAGCCGGCAGCATCGCATGGTGTTCTGCAACCTGATGGCCTCCAACCTGATCTGCCGAAAAGAACAGGTGGACACACGTCGCCCATCACTGAACCAGGGTGCTCCACATAGCATGAACAGAAAGGCCACCGGGGCAATGGGGCTGTGAGCTGCCGCTGCATAGAAGCAAAGGGGGAGTACATAAAGGCATGGGTGTTTTCATGAGACCATGAAGGGTTTTGACAACCCATATCTCAACGCATCAAGAAGATGCTGAAATGCAGCTTGAAAGGCCTACAAGATGCCACAGCCCGGCTTTCCGGCTGAGGCGGATAAGTTGAACAAGCTCAGCTGAAAAGCGTGAAGATATTATCCGTTCGAAAAGAACAACAAGAAGCTGCTGGGGACTCCTGGCCTCGCTACTAGGAGCAAGGACGCTACTAGGGGCTCCTGGCCTTACTACTAGGAACAAGAAGCTACTATAGGAACAAACATACAGACAGCGCAGCTTCTTCAGATCTCTCGTGAACATCGTCGAGCATCCTTGCTCCTAGTAGCGATGCCAGGAGCCCCTAGTAGCGTCCTTGCTCCTAGTAGCGATGCCCTTTGCTCCTACTCTGGTACTTCATGACACTAAAGTGGGAGGCCAAAAGTTCCACCCATCATCCCGAGCTGTGCATCTACGCGGGAGCTTCGCACAGAACCAGTTCCCAACTAGTTTTCGAGATGTTGGAGATTTTGCATGATAATACTCCTGCCTCCGGTCGACCTGAAGCCTCGAAGTGACCAAGCAGAGATTCATGAAAATTGGATTGCGCTTTCAGTCCAACCACCTGTAGATTTTGAGATCAAGAAATTGCCAGGGCTTGGGCAGTTGAGGAACACGCCCACCACGCCCACCACGACCCCATGCCCAAGGCACTTCGAGGCTTTCCAGATCTCCTCCAGCGGCAGACTCGACACAGTGGGCACCAGGAAGCGGCTCCGGAGTCGCTCGGCTGCACGCACCTCACGGAGTTGCTTGGCCCGGCCGAGAGTCGCTGGCCTCGAAGCCTCCTGGTGCGGGACTTCAACAACTACCAGGTAACTGCAGTGAGTGTTCGGTAGGTGAACCTTTAGCCCAAGAAGCTACTAAGGGCGCCTGGCCTTACTACTAGGAGCAAGGACGCTGGAAAGATTGACAAGTCCCTCTCTTCGTGTCCATTTCACCAAGAAGTTTGCTTTCTCTTCATTACGCCTGCTCGCAAGATTAATGAAGAGACACACATGTCTTTTGCTCTGGCCATGGGGGGCCTGAGATGGAATGGAGAAATGGACAGGTCCCTGCAACGAAGACAAATTGCCTCATGGAGCAAGATGTGGCCTAGTAGTAACTATTAGTAAGAATGCTCCTAGTAGCGATGTCAGGAGCCCCTAGTAGCATCCTTGCTCTTAGTAGTAAGGCCAGGAGCCCCTAGTAGCGTCCTTGTTCCTAGCGATGCGACGATGCGAAGCCCCTGGTAGCATCCTTACTCCTAGTAGTACGGCCAGCCTAGTAGCTTCTTGTTACTAGTAGTAAGAATGCTCCTTGTGGCGATGCCAGGAGCCCCTAGTAGCGTCCTTGCTCCTAGTAGTAGGGCCAGGAACCCCTAGTAGCGTCCTTGTTCCTAGTAGTGATGCCGGGAGCCCTTAGTAGCGTCCTTGCTTGACCCCTAGTAGCATCCTTGTTCCTAGTAACGATGCCAGGAGCCCCTAGTAGCGTCTAGTAGTAAAGCCAGGAGCCCCTAGTAGCGTCCTTGTTCCTAGTAGCGATGCCAGGAGCCGCTAGTAGCGTCCTTGCTCCTACTAGTACCAGGAGCCCCTAGTAGCATCCTTGCTCCTAAGGCCAGGAGCCCCTAGTGGCATCCTTGCTCCTAGTAGTAAGGCCAGAAGACCCCAGTAGCTTCTTGTTACTAGTAGTAAGAATGCTCCTCCTAGTAGCGATGCCAGGAGCCCCTAGTAGCATCCTCGCTCCTAGCTTCTTGATACTAGTAGTAAGAATGCTCCTAGTAGCGATGCCAGGAGCGCCTAGTAGCATCCTTGCTCCTAGTAGTAAGGCCAGGAGCCCCTAGTA